TTGAAAAGGAATGTTAGGGAGTGAGGACCAGTAGTCTTCAGGAGTCCTGTACTGCCTGTGTTCTACACAGCATTGCCAGAAGGTCTAAGAATATTTTCGTAGAGATGGGATTCCAGCCGCCTGCTGAATTACTGCAGTGACCATGTTATTTACAGCGGGCTGTGCTAGGGACTTTTGGGGGTAATTGAGTTGAACACAAGGTTCTTTGGCCTCTAGGCAAAGAATTACATTTGCATAAAGTCAAAGTAGATGTTTAGAGCGTAAGAAATCGCATAGGGGAAGGGGTTGGACCTTGCAGTGAAAAGGAACTTTCTTTTTTTTTTTTGAGACAGAGTCTCACTTTGTTGCCAGGCTAGAGTGAGTGCTGTGGCTCAGCCTAGCTCACAGCAACCTCAAACTCCTGGGCTCAAGTGATCTCTGCCTCAGCCTCCCGAGTAGCTGGACTACAGGCATGCGCCACCATGCCACCGGCCTCCCAGAGTGCTAGGATTACAAGCGTGAGCCACCTCGCCCAGCCCCACTGAGCATTTAAACTTGTTCTCTCTGCCATATTCCCCCATCTGCTTGATTCCTGGTTATAGTTCAGATCTTAATTTAGAAGTCATTTCCTTCAGGAAGGCTTCCTTGACCTTCCTAACTTAAATGTGCTTCCACAGAATCCATGGGACCCTATTGTAGCATTTCTATAACTGTTTGTTTACTCTCTTTTTCTAAATGGTAATATCTATAACTGGAACATGGTAGTTATATAATAAATATATGTTGAGCAAATGCTGAATGAGCTGACCCCCAAGACATGTGTTATAGTCCTAAACTAATCCTAGTGTGTGCTTTCTTGCTTATTTATTTATTAATTCATCCATTTAGAGACAGATTCTCACTCTGGCAACTGGACTAGACTACAACAGTGGCATCATAATAGCTTACTGCAACCTCCAACTCCTGGGCTCAAGCAATTCTCCAGCCTCAGTCTCCCTAGTAGCTGGGACTGTAGGCATGCACCACCACGCCCTGCTAATTTTTTCTATTTTTAGTAGAGACAGGGTCTCTCTCTTGCTCAGGCTGGTCTCAAACCAAGAGATCCTCCCACCTAGGCATCCCCAAGTGCTAGGATTACAGGTTTGAGCCACCATACCCTACCAATTTTATTTTTTAATTTAGGGGGATTTTGTATCTCTTCAGAAGGATTTTCTGAACCCAAAGCAACATGCCACACAGTGTTTATCAAGGATAGTGCCAACTGAGAAAGCAACCATAAGCGCAGATGCAGAGTCTGTGCCCCCTCAAATAGTGAAAACCAAAACAAAGATCAAAAACAGTAAAATGCTAATATAGCTATATTACATAAAGTACTGTTAAGAAAATGGACCTAGCTAATACAATAGTTCTTTTCCAGGGCAAAAGCTTCCCTTCCTGAACTGTCCATTAAATTTAGCATTTATCTAAATGGCAAGTTTCTAGAAACCCCAAAGATCCTGAAAACCAGGGGAGTAAATGGAGCATGTGGCCAGAGGTCAGTGAGGAGAGCTAGGACTCAAACTCTAGGAAGGGTGAACCACTATCCTGCCACCAAGATACTGTCAGGCTATTCCCTCAGTCTCAATCATTAGAAGTGGCATTCTGGTTTACAATCAGGACTTAAACATAAGGGGAGCCTTCCAGGAACGGCCTTGCCCAGCATCAGCTCTCACAAGAGCTCTGGGATACTGATCCATTTTTTATCAGAATGGAGAACACGTAGAGAACCAATGTGTGTGTCAAGCACAGCAGAGAGAACAGCAATACTTAGAAAGCCCAACTGCCCCAGGTCTGGTCCACCCCCGAGCAAAACATACTCTGTAGGAGTGGAATAACTCTACTGCGCGGAGCACATCAAACTTCCTGGCCATGAGGAACTTGACAGCCACGTTCCAAGAGAGCGGAGAAACATTGTACTGCACTGTCCACTTGTTAATCTCTTCAAGAAACTGCTTGGTGGCCTGTTTGACAAAGAAAGTAAGAATAATTAGTAATAGGAGAACATACTTATGAAACCAAAAAACAAGCAATCAAAAACTATCATTCTTTCCCCAAGCAAGCCTAAACCAAAAGGAAGCAAAGACAGACAAAAAAAAAAGGCAGAAACTGGTCTGAAATAAAAAATAGTTAAAATTTATATAACTCATCCAGGAATGGTGGCTCATGCCTGTAATCCTAGAACTCTGGGGGCCAAGTGGGGAGGATAGCTTGAGCTCAGGAGTTTGAGACCAACCTGAGCAAGTGCAAGACCCTGTCTATTAAAAAATAGAAAAATTAGCCAGGTGCAGTGGTGCACACCTATAGTCCCAGCTACTTGGGAGGCTGAGGCAGGAGGCTCACTTGAGCCCAGGAATTTGAGGTTGCAATGGGCTATGATGACACCACTGCACTCTAGCTTGGGCAACAGGGTGAGACTTTGTCAAAAGAAAAAAGAGAGGGGAAAAGAGAAATGGGAAGGAGAAGGGGAGGGAGAAAGGAAAACAATTTTGTATAACTCTGTGAGGCTAGAAGCCAAAGCCAGGTTCAAAGAGCAGGAATTAGCACAGAGATGGACTAATGAGGGGGAAACCAAGGCTCCCAAATAAGATGTAAATTTCCTGGTTAGAGCTGGAACCCATACTGTTAAGTGAAGTTTCCCAAGAATGGAAAAACAAGCACCACATATACTCAGCAAATTGGTATTAATTGAACAGCACCTAAGTGGTCACATAGATACTACAGTAATAGGGTATTGGGCAGGGGGGAGGGGGGAGGGGGGCAGGTATATACATATATAATGAGTGAGATGTGCACCATCTGGGGGATGGTCATGCTGGAGACTCAGACTTGTGGGGCGAGGGGGGAAATGGGCATTTATTGAAACCTTAAAATCTGTATCCCCATAATATGCTGAAATAAAAAAATATATATATATAAAACAAAATAAAAATATAAAACAAAATAAAACAATGGTGATAGGATGATGAAAAAAATGTAAATTACTGGCTCCAAAAGCAAAAAAAAAAACAAACAAACAAAAAAAACCCAGAATTATTTTGGATTTTGTTGTTGTTGTTTTTAAGAAGAAAAAAGTGTGGCTGGGCCCTCTGAGGGATTATTGCAAAATGTAGAGTGTAGTATAGCAATCTCAGCTGCTGCCTCTCACAAGCCAACTCAACACAGCAAAACAATCAGAAAATGGTTTTGGCATTGGAATTAGTAGAACTATTTGAGAATAGCAAAACTATTAGGAAGAATTTACCAAATCAAAGGCCAAGTGTTCTTTGCACTGACGGACCCCACAAGACCTCTTAATGCTTTACATGGCAGGCCAAAAAGGGGACACCAGTGCCTAGAGAGTCATTAACAGCCCACTGCATAGTGGTTTGGCAGAGGGGTGGGAAATTTTCATTTTCACTATCTGACTACAAGCTGACAAAATGCCTGTTTCTAGAACTGTTCTTACCTCTTGACTAACTCATGTTTTTATGGCTTTCTTGCCCTATTTCTCCTTACATTATAACTAATTTCCTCTGTAGCCAAACTATCTTTGTTTCTTCATTTTAGAATGATTTGAATTGAGATTTCATGCACACACTCTGAATTGCTAAAAGCTCTCTGCATGGCTATTCTGTCCTTTCCATTCAGAAACTTTTCTCAGCTGGGGATTCACTATATGATCAACCTGATGAGAATTCTCAATTTTTTTTTTTTTTAAGAGACACCGTGTCACTCTGTCACCCTGGCTGGAGCACACTGACATGATCACAGCTCACTGTAACTTTGACTCCTCACCTCAAGCAATCCTCCTGCCTCAGCCTCCCAAAGTGCTAGGATTACAGGTGTGAGTCACCCTACCCAGCTGATAATTCTAAATTTTAACCATACCCCTATTCTTGATCAACCCACAATTAAGATTTATTTATTCAGATTTATTAAGCACCTATTATTTTTTAAGCTGGTACCTGTGCTAAGAAGTATAAGGAATACAAATTTGCTTCAAAAGGTAAGACCAACTTACTATGTGACTATGAACAAGATAATTTTCTCTCTCCACTAATTTTTCAACTGAAAAATAGGGAGAGAAAAAGCTAACAGCAATGACCTACTTCAGAGTCTTGGCAACAAGTCCTACCTTGAAAATACAATCCAAATCGCTATATACTATTTAAACAACCAGCAAACTAGAACTGCAGGACAGTCAGCAATACCTCACAACATAGCACCTGTTTCATCCCCCAATTTCTAGGAAAGGGCACGATATTTTATGAGCCAGGGAAAAGTCTAAATGGCCTAACAGGCTGGATCTAAGCTTTACAGCCTTTCAACAGAGGCAATATAACTTACACTATAGAAAAGGAGAGAACCAGCAAAACCAATCGGGCAAAGTGTATGAAAAGATCCAAGAAATAAAGGCTATAAAGAAAAGCTTTCAGAAGATCACTCTGGCCCAGAACCAGCTGAAGCCAGACCAGAGAAATGAGTCCCAGAGAAGACAATGGAACAAACACAGAATGCTCCCAAGAAAAGAGTTTGAATTGCCTCTGTGGAGTAAGTGGCCAGCATCAGAATGAGGAAAGACGGAAGGGAGAAGTGGGCACAAAAAGATCCCATAAACAAAACTCCAACTGGTCAAGAAGGTCCCCAGGAAATGTTGTAAATGGTATTTGTTTTTCAATTAATGTATTATCTTTTATATCCAGTCCTCTTATGGGTTTCTCTAATGTTGCCTGTACAATAAAACACCAAAATAATAGGAACATATTTTACCCACTACTTAGCTGGGTATACAATCTCAGATAAATCAACGTATAGGCAAGAGGTGTAGATCTAAATGACCAGGAAGTGATATGAACTCATCACATTCCCTCTGTTAAGATGGCTTTTCATTTTCCATAAATAAACCAGGCCCTGGCCGGGCGCGGTGGCTCACGCCTGTAATCCTAGCTCTCTGGGAGGCCAAGGCGGGCGGATTGCTCAAGATCAGGAGTTCGAAACCAGCCTGAGCAAGAGCGAGACCCCGTCTCTACTATAAAAAAATAGAAAGAAATTAATTGGCCAACTAATATATACAAAAAATTAGCCGGGCATGGTGGCGAATGCCTGTAGTCCCAGCTACATGGGAGGCTGAGGCAGGAGGATTGCTTGAGCCAGGAGTTTGAGGTTGCTGTGAGCTAGGCTGACGCCACGGCACTCACTCTAGCCTGGGCAACAAAGCGAGACTCTGTCTCAAAAAAAAAAAAATAAAATAAAATAAAATAAACCAGGCCCTAATAGAAAAGCACACAGGTTTCACACATTTCCTTCAAAGTATATCGTGCCTTCCTTTTTATTAAACTCAGTTCCTCTAAGGTTTTTTGTTTGTTTGTTTGTTTGTTTGAGACAGAGCCTCTCCCTGTCTCGCCCAGGCTAGAGTGCCGTGGCGTCAGCCTAGCTCACAGCAACACAAACTCCTGGGCTCAAGTGATCCTCCTGCCTCAGCCTCCCGAGTAGCTGGGACTACAAGCATGTGCCACCATGCCCAGCTCATTTTTTCTATTTTTAGTTGTTTGGCTAATTTCTTTCTATATATACTAGAGACTAGGTCTCACTCTTGCTCAGGCTGGCCTCGAACTCCTGAGCTCAAACGATCCTCCCATCTCAGCCTCCCAGAGTGCTAAGATGACAGGCGTGAGCCATCGCGCCCCGGCCTCTCCAAGGTTCTTGATGTCCTGTAGCTCCCAACAGCCCTTGCCTTGAGCTGACCTCTGTCCCTCTGCTGGTCAGGATGTTATTCTTGGCTTTAAGCACGGAAACAATTCCTCCTGCTTTGGCCCGACCAGGCCTTGCATTAGAGGAGTCCAGTGTACTGTAAATAGTGATGCCATATTTGCAGATACAAATACACACACATATCACCTGCTCTTTTCAGCCTCAGATTCATGCTCCCACATCCGCATCCTTCTGGTGAAAGAAATGAACCTCTGAAAGGAGTGCGAAAGAATGGGCTCATCTTCAACAGCCTTCCTCTAGACAGCTAATCAGATTTCTTCCCCTGTTTGCACATGGATTCAGCATAACCACTGAGTACAGACTGATTTGTGGCCGTGCTGGTTAGCAGAAAACAAGTCCCAGCAACCTTAATGAGCAAGACACTCTTCAGAAAGAATAACTGAAATTCTTAAAATTAATATGCAGTGTATTTCCTGGTAAAAAGAAAGAATGGGCCAAAAGATGAATCACAGCTTAGAAAATATTTCAACTCAAGGTCAGTGGTTTGAATCTATCTAGATTTATGAGTAACCACATGTTATTAATACCTAGAAGCTAAGGAGTGATCACAGTTCAAATAGCTGTGGTCTGAATTGATGTACAGAAAAATTTTTGGTAACACTGACACTTACAACCCTCCTCAACCAGCTTTTCAGGTAAGGGTAAGATTTGTTTCAGTACAAAAGGCTTACTGTAATTACATACTTCTCCCACAATCATGTTTAAATAAATAAAAACAACCATGAAGATAAAGATACTAAAGAACCTGTCATAAAACAGCTGAGAAATCTGCCAATTAAGCAGGGTACACCCTGGATACCATTCACTGGTGTTGAAATAATGGTATCATAGAGAATAAAGCCAACAACACAGTCTTCACATTATAGCAAACTCCCAAGAGCAGCTGCAATTTTGAGATGAACATTGAGCAAGGAACTAGCCACCCAAAAGGTCAAGAAAAATGTGCTGGTACCCTTCGGTTCCACAGGTAGTAAGTACTTTAAATCCTGTGTTCTAAGACAACCTAGGAGTGAAGAGCCAGACCTCTAAGAAACCTGTTCTTGAAATAAATAGAAAACTTCTGCCTCCTGAAATGTCAGCCACCTAACCTCTAAGGAGTAAGTCTAGTGTGGGTTTGGGAGTCAAAAAGAATCAATCCATCCTCTTACTCACTGCTATGTATTATTTGGGCAATTGAAGCTCTCTGTCTTTCCTTCTGGAAAGACAAGGA